TTTAACCAACTTTAAAAAGGTGGAGGTACTCAATTCAACAATTTTTTTATATGTGTGTGTTTTTTTTTATAGGATAGAGTGACAAAGGAGCACACAGTCCACACGATGGTAACTGTTTGCTGTGACACATAGACATCTACATCCATCCTCAATAAAGAATCAAAATGCAGATGCGTCGGCACCCGTGAGGACTAAGATGGAATGCCTCGTTTCCAGTAAAAAGGGTCTCTGGTTCTTTACACTCACCATACGAAACACAGCAGTGTCAAGATGCCATTTTACGCTGGTATTCTGTGAGAGGGTGGTCCTTTCCCGGCCGAGCCGATCCATTGTTCCTACAACTATACTAATAATATAGCTACAGCATGGCTCTACCACGTATAAAACCTCCTGTTACCTCCTAACTTTTATCTGCTTTTTGATCTTGATCAAGGTCTGTTTTTGTTTTTGTTTTTGAGCTATCCTTAATAATTTATATTGAAATCAGTTGTTTTAATTTTACCACTTGGTTTGCTAATCTTTGATAGACTTATTTTACGTGGTAGAGTCACGCTGTAGTTGTATGCAGTATGTAGTACAGAGGACGATTAACCTCTCATAGATAATAGAATAAAATATCAGCATAATATGTGGCTGTGTTTCGTATGACTAGTGACAAGAACCAAATACTTTTTTCACTGATAACGAGGCATTTCATCTTATTCCTCACGGGTGACATAGAATTTTGATTCTTAATAAACCATTCGCTGTGATGCACGAGGCACTACATATAGTTCATTATTATTGTCTTACTATTAAATAAATAAATAATACGTTTATTTCGGTAATCTTGTTAACGATAGTTGTGAGTGTTAATCTAGCACGTGACCATTGCTTTCCACACTTGTATGAAAATATATAGATCTTATTTCCTCTCGATATTTATTAGTTGTAATTTAGTGTATTTACAAAACGGTCATATTTTTATATATAAATATTTATTTGCATTTGGTATACATTTTACATCACTGCAGCCGGGCTGTTTGTTTTTATATAAAAACAAAAAATTTCTGTTTTTGGAATTAAATTATTAAACTCCAAAACAATTCACTCGCTATTTCAGCCATAATATATCTCTCGGATAGCTCATCCTTTTAACAAAACGCAGGGCACAAAACGTCAAACGTAATGCCCAATGTCACGGGTTAATGGCGCGTTACGAAACATGTTCCGCTTTTTCAGTTATTAATGACAACACACTTTTCCAAACTAATGGGAAACGCTCTGAGTAAGTGTTTTAATCATAACAGAAACGCTTCACACTAAAAGTTGAGTTGGAAAAAAGGTTAAAATATTCTATGAAGTCTTACTCGAAGACATGAGGCCAGAGCACAGACTAAAGCTGGTCTGGTGGAGCAGTCTGTCACGCTGCTTCAACGGGTATTTTTATAGTATAAGGGTGACAAACGAGCACACAGTCCACCTGATGGTAAGTGGTTGCTGTGGCCCATAGACATCTACATCTATACACGTTTGCGAATCAAAGTGCAGATGCGTTGTCAGCCGTGAGGACTAAGATGGAATGCCTCGTTTCCAGTAAAAAGGGTCTCCGTTTCTCTACACTCAGCATACGAAACACAGCAGCTTTAAGTTGCTATTTTTCGCTGGTATTCTGCGAGAGCGTGGTACTTCTCCTGTCGAGCCGACCCATTCGTGCTACAACTATACCAGTAATAGAGCTGCAGCATGGCTCTACCACGTATGAGTTTACCAGGAATGGCTAGACGCACAAGTATCTTACTTATAATTATTAATAAAATTAATATTTTTATAATATAACAATCATCATCATCACTAATAGCCCTTTACTTTTAAAAGGAGGCTTACACTTTGCTTACCAGTACAATTATCTGGTACTAGAGAATCTGTCTTTCCTATAAGTTGATAGCTGATAGATTACTTGATTCTTCTTTCCTTATGTAAAGAAGTTTTTCTTTTAATTTATATATTTATTATAGTATATTTTGTACGGTGTGGGCAGAGAACTACGAGGCATTTCATCTTGGTCATCAGGGATGACAACGCATCTGCATTTTGATTCCTAATCAAGGATAGATGTAGATGTCTATGAGTCACAGCATCCATTTACTATCGGGTGGAATGTGTGCTTATTAAAAAAATAAAGTATAATGTTTATTGCTGAAAACTGTATACGTGCATGCATACATCAAACACCCACAAAATACTAATATGTTAGAAAAATATTTAAATATTAACCATTTAAATCAATGAGCACTACTTTTTTTTTATAGGATAAGGGTGACAAATGAGCACACAGTCCACCTGATGGTAAGTGGTTGCTGCGGCCCATAGACATCTACATCTATCCTCTGTTACAAATCAAAATGTAGATGCGTTGTCACCCGTAAGGACTAAGATGGAATGCCTCATTTCCAGTAAAAAGGGCCTTCGGCCACCTGCACTCACCAAGCGAAACGCAGAGGTAAACCTCTACTTCACGCTGGTTTTCTGTGAGGTCGTGGTACTACCCCGGTTCGAGCCGGCCCATCCGTGCGACAGCAAAAGATGCCGCGTGGCTCTACCACTGTAAAAAATGCCTCATTTATATGCCATATATCATGCCATGACTACTTAGTTTACATTATAAAAAAATCCTGGTACGCATTATATATTACTAGCTTTGTACATGATACGGATAAAATTGCAACGCAGACTTAATAATTTAATAATAAAATTTACTGAAAAGCTTAAATTATGCATTAAAAATTGCATTGGCGTCAGTACTTAGAGGTTTACTCTTGAAAACATCTAGAGATGAGAATAAAGCTACGTGTGTACTGATTACACGACGTAGATTATTATCTGTGCTAAGATTCATTGAAATTGCGCAAGTACTTTCAGAGGAGATATCAGTACCAATTTGTATCGGAGTAGAGAATAAAATGGATACGCTACGCTTCGGATCAATTATACATTGATGTTGCTTTTAATAAGAGTTTTGGGATATTTAAATGACTAACAAATAATGAGTTCTAATAAAGTGTCGTGTGATTAAAAAGTTGTTGGACACGGTATATGAAAAGAGTTGTACAATATCGTTTAAGACCATTTTTTCGGTTGAAAAATGTTGTCAGTATGAAAGAACGCTAGGTTTAGCCGTTACACTATAACGGCTAAACCTAGCGTTCTTTACGACTTAAGCGTTAGTCCAGGCTAACAACGTGTCTGATTTCTAGATTGCTTGCCTGTCTTGAGCAATCTCTTCAGATAATCAATTGGCTCACACGCCATCCGACGATATCTATTTATCTGCGAAGTTTGGCTCTGTATTTGTATAGCGAGGTTTATGTGACCAATGTGGATTTACGTTTCGACAGCGCTATCGCCTTCAACACCCTCGAAAACCATGAAAATGTCACCCAAGATGAAAAAATTGGTACCTACTTCAGCCGCCATCTTGGATTTACATTTCGACAGCACTATCGGCTTCAACACCCTCGAAAACCATGAAAATGACACCCGTGATGAAAAAATTGGTACCTACTTCAGTCGCCATCTTGGATTTACGTTTCGACCCGCATTATCGGCTTCAACTCTCTCGAAAACCATGAAAATGATGCCCAAGATGAAAAAAATTGTATCTATTGCAGCCGCCATGTTGGATTTACATTTCGACAGCACTATCGGCTTCAGCACCCTCGAAAACCATGAAAATGACACCCATGACAAAAAAATTATACTTTTTACTTTTAGTACGTACTACTATTATTTATTCTGTGCTTTTAAAATATTGTAATAAAAAAAATGTCTTATTATTATTATAATGAAGTATTTAAGAAATTTGTTTATTCGAATGTTGTGTAGTTGTACAGCGATCTTTTTGAGCCGCTGCAAACAACCGAAACAATGTCCACTCACGACGGCGACTGAAGCTGAACTAAACTACTCTGTGGCTGTAGCTCACCATTTACAGAAATAACTTACATACAAGGCTACCAAATCAACGAAAATTTTGCCATTTTGGAGCCGAAAAAAAATTAATTATAGCTAAACAAAACAAAATTACACTGCCATTTACTTTCAGTGGGTTCCCACATGATAGATGAAGAGATTAAAAAATAGATTGAGTTAAACAATTGATATTTTCTAAAGTTATCGTTTACAAGTCTTGGGGAGTTGATAAATCCACACCATAAGCCACTAAAACCCTATTTTCATTTAAAAATAGCAATTAGTCGATTTAAAAAAAATATTAATAAGTTCAACAATCATTTATCTTTCTAACAATGTGCTTTTTATATCATTTATATGTATAATATGATTGCTAGATACGATTTTATTCCATAAAACGTTGGATGCAGAGTGAAAACTCAATGATATATGCGTATACAGACTATCGACGTGTAGTAAACATGCTCATGACGCGAACCTATAAAGTTTTCCCATACCAAAAATCGCTCAACGCGTCTAAAGAAACGACACACTTCAAAAACGCAGATGCATCGTCACCCCTGAGGACTAAGATGGAATATCTCGTTTCCAGTGAAAAGGCTCTCCGGAAAAGGTTGAAAAGCTTCTTTACACTCACCATACGAAACATAGCAGCATTAAGCTGCTATTTTACGCTGGTATTCTGAATGGTCCTTCCCCGGTCGAGTCGAACTGCAACGCTACGTTGCGATGCTACAACCACCATGTAATTTAAATTCGGTAAGAACTTCTTACCTATTGCTGCCGCTTAACATTACTGTGTTAATTTCTGAAGAGGGTGTGGAGAGGCAGTGAGACATTCCCATTGAGTTCTCAGAGGTTACGGATGCGTTGTCGTGTGTGGCCTGTACAAGCACACATCTTTAAAAAGTTTATGGCAGATATTTACGGGCTACTGTACCAACTTGAACTGATAGCATATCTCTTTGATAATTAATTTTTTTAAAGATTTACCCAAAATTCTAATATTATCTTTAGAAATATGATATAAAGCAGACAAGATAACTCACCTCTTCTATAGCATCTAACTGCACATCCGCGAGTCCTCCATTCGGTAGGTCAAGCGGTGTCTCCTTCGCTTGCGCAGCCGTCAAGGCCGAGTGCCTCGCTGCCGTCGCCCCAGCACCACCAGCCGTCGGCCTCGTGGCCTCTAGCAGCACCTTGAGGGAAGCGATCGCGTGCAGCTGCGTCGCCTTCTCGTCCACTTTGCCTGTGGACAAAAATCGAACCACTTGATGTTAGCTTAGGTAGACTTCTTTTTGAAAAACTGGAGTGACAAGCGAACTTATACTCCACCTGATGGCAAGTGGCTACTGCAGCCCATGGACACTTGCCAAAACGAATAAGGCTATAGATGCGTTGTCAGGAGTTACTAAGGCCCGTAATAGTAAATGTTACTCAGCTCAAGTACACGCACTTGAGTACAACCTTGAGGCTATGATCTTATTAATAAACATATCTCAAGATGCGGTTTAGGTTTACGATATCAGCTGAGTGCCACACTGATTAATAAACGAAACTCGACTCTCAAGTGTGTGTACTGGAGTGCAAGTCACAGAGCAGTATTCCTAAATACAGCATTTTGAGATACTGTTTTTATGTGTTTATTAATTAGCAACGATCTTGAAATGGTAATTAATATTAGGGCGTATCAAATGATTACGCACTTGAGTTCGTCGTTGAGTAACGTTTATTAATACGTGCCTAAGACGAAATGCCTCACAGTTTGTTTTTACACTGACCCTCTACACCGTTCAGATCGGAACACTGCAGGATAATTACTGTTATTTGGCAGTAACCTAGAAGGTATCCTAGCCAGAGAAGAAGTTCTTCCAGCTAGTAAAATATTTACTTTACTTTTTTATATTTATTGTCTATTGTATTGTCAAAAAATATGTATAATTACATTGTTAATTCATTACAATCTTTCGAAAGTCACTGCTGAACCCAAGCCTCCCCCATAAATTGTTTTATAGAGCAGATATTTGAATATGTTGTAGTCGTGGGATAATTTGATAAACCGAATTTTCCGCAAAAATCTAGGAATATCGCGAAAACACGGATAATTAGACATTTCTGAATTTTACTGAAAAAATATAGGGGTTTTTGTAAAAACGCCACTCGCTTTAGTAAAAATTGTGAAAATAATCGTTGGCTACTCGTATTATAAACGAAGCACAATGATTGGTCAGTCGGATCGCCCAAAACAACGTCATATCTGATTTGCCCCCCACCTTTTTTCTTTTTCTTTGCCTATTTTTATTTTACTAAATGTTGATGATTAAAACTTTTGCTAAACGATTTCTGAGACAAATCGCTTTAATAGGGGGGGGGGGGGCGTCCTCCCTCCGCTAAAATAACACAAAAGTGTAGTCAACGGAGCCCCGCTATGCGGTGGTCCTATTTTGGATGGTTTATAAAAAAATAACCACGAAGGGGATGGAGCCTAACCAAACCTGTCCAAGTCGGGGTGCCCCAAGTCCCGAGCTCGCTTCGCTCGCTCTTGCACTAAATAAAACACCAAAATGTTAACTTTTATAATTAACCAGAGTTTTCGCAAAACTTCTTTTTTCAGTAAGATAGAGAAATGTCATAGCCATTGTCTAATTATCCGTGTTTTCGCGATACCGATATCCTAAGATTTTTGCGGAAAATTAGGTTTATCAAATTATCCTACGACATATATAAATAGTTAATATATGTATATTCTACATTTTACGTTTCATTTTATATTTCCAGGATAACAAATAAAACATTGTAGTCGACTAGATTTGACGTAAATGAGCCGTCATTTTTGTTATACTTCAACAAATAGAATACAATGTCTTGAATAGCTACGCTGCAGGCCTCTCATCATAACAACGGCTTTTGTAGCATTGTTGACCCGACTATTCGTAGAGATGACACAAATTTGTGGCTGTTTCTTGTTACGCGAGTAAATTTAATGTTTTTGTTTTTCTTTGTAATGGTGGCAAAGGAATATTTCTCGGGGTTATTGGTGGGCTCGACCGGTTAAAGGTCCACGATCTCACAGAATATAAGCGTAAAATACAGTAAATAACAGCTTAATGCTGCTGTGTTTCGTAACTAGAGTGAACCGACGACCCTTTTTACTGGAAAAGTGACATTCTATCTTAGTCCTCACGGGTGACAACGCATCTGCATTTTGATTCTTAACGGAGCAGTATCCAATTACCATCAGGTGGACTGTGTGATCGTTTGTCACGAATTATTCATTCGATCAGCAGCGTGCATCGGGTGCAGGTGAAAATGTATTTTGGAGTAAACATTGGTGTACGCGCATGCATAGTTGCATTGGGTATTGAGGTCACTGGTCTGCAGAGAGGAACGTCGAGCGCACGTGGTTTTAATTATTTTATATTATAACTAAAGGTTTTTGCAATTGTAACGAAAATGAATCAGTTCAGTCTTGTTGAAGAGGTTTATAATTTATCATCTTATCCAACAACGAGGGTCTCCATGACTTTTTATACAACTAAGGCGGCTACACTTTGGAATTAGGGGAAATATTTGATAGATTTCAATATCGGGTAAGTAAATTTGTTAGGAAAATGTAAGGGTTAATGTTTCTTTCTGTAATACTACTTAGTTAGATTTCATATTAATTAGATAAGAAATGATAAACCGACCTACGGATATTTGAAAAAGTAGAAAATTAAAAAAAAAGAGCTAAAAAGGTGCAAAAAATTAAAGAAGAAACCACTATTACTACAATACTCTAGAACCTGTTACTGCTAATGTTACTGCCTATTAAAGTCAACTGCTGAACATAGGCCTCGCCCATAGATTGCCTCATAGGAGGGATATTTGCCATAGTCACCATGCTTGGCAAGCGGATTGGCAACCTCACTTTTTATTTTATTTTTAGTCGTTATAAGAAAGATTCCAGCCCATCTCCTGTTTTGGTTACCCTCTGTCATCTCTTACAACACTCACGGGATGATATGGGGTAGTGGATATTTTTACACCGCCACTACACGGCTTTAGAAACTAATAAACTTATATTTAAAATTAAATTCTCAATTGAAGGACCTTGTGTAACAAAAAACTTCACCTCAGTGTCAACTAGCGACATCTGGTGAGCGTAAGATTATTAGCCCTCATTGACAGCTGTCAATGAGGGCTAATAATCTTACGCTCTTAGCAGCTTATTGGTTACAAATAATTTTAATAGGCTTGGATGTTCCCGCCTCAATGATATAGAAGGAAATAATTTACCGGCACGCACGACCACATCTTAGAATTTTCTGTCGCCAGCGGATTTTACAGATCGATACGACTTAGGGACTTTCAACAAAAGGGCCTACTCCTTCCTAAAAGGTCGTTCAACTAGTTATATAAGTTTAACCACTCTGGCCCGGACCTTTTCTTGGATCAACTTAGACAGGGACTAGTTTTTTTTTAGATAAAAGTAAAAATAAAGTAAAGTCATTTTGCCAATTTATTTTACTTTGTTTTATATTAAAATAAAAAAATATCAACAATTAAAATATTGAATTATTTGTGTGAAGGTCAAGTGAGAGGAAGACAATTGTATGACGTTGTCCATAAATAAAATGTTTTCAGAAATTATCAATTACCTTATCGTGGCGTTGCATGAATATCCATATCATCTCGAGGACGCCGTAAGAGACTAGGGGAAAAGGGTTGTTTTTAAATAACCGTGAACATCGTTCCGGTTACGAAAATGTCACAGTGAAAAATCATCGTGATTTTGTCACGTTAGATAACTACTTGTAACAATAGAATGACTTATAACGTGACTTTTCATACGCATTTTAGATTTAGTTAAAAGTTAAAGTTAAAGTTACAGCCCATTATACGTCCCACTGCTGGGCACAGGCCTCTCATTTCTGAGAGGATTTTAGGACAAGGAAATGTTCACCCCGCTGCCCCAATGCGTGTTGGCGAACTTCACGTGTATTCGAAATATTTTTTCTTATTTCTCGGAAATGCAGGTTTCCACAGGATGTTTTTCTTCACCGCCGAGCACGTGGTAAATTAGTACTTAAAATTGCAATTAATAGTTAATTGCAATTCTATTGGTGACGGCGTGGATAGCATTTGAAGTACATTCTCTTACTCTAATACAACATATTAACTTTTTTTAACGAAACTAATTCTAGTAAAATTTAATAAAAACGAAACTAATTCAACTAAAATTCTAAATCAAATTTACAGTTTTAGTTGTATAATTCTCATAAATAACATGTAAAAAAGAATTCTGAGTAAACGTAGTTATTATATTATACTCTTTGGTTCTGAGAGGTCCCTTCTAAATATTACTATACTCTTTGGCGGGGTCTACAAAATTATCACGGGCACATGAGTAAAGGAATCGTACTAAATCGTACCGTACCGATGTGGACCGGTGGGACTTGACAGATTAATATTATATATAAGTCCAACTACAGTAATATCATTTCTTTTTTAATTATCATCGGCAAAGATGTCGGTGCAATTACACGATGATATTGTGACAATTTATGAATTAGGTTTCTAATCGATTTGCAAACTTACATGTTATATACGCAATACTACGTGTACCATTTATTGTGATTTGGATTGACTCTATGTACGAGTAGATGATATAATAAATATTTGTAAAATTTATTTTATAGCGACACTTACTTGATAATTTGTTATAAAGTTTTAAGCATTGATTCCCGAAATACAGGGTATCCTAGTTTGAGAGTCAGGGTTTATTGAATTTACAATCTAATAGAAATGTCAAATAAGTATATTAATATTATAGTTATAGTTTCTCGTAATCTTTTCCTTAAAAATTCAAGCAACGATATTTCAATTTCCTATTTGCATTTCGTGGGCTATTGAAGTAGAATTGTCGTAGCGTAACACGAAGTTACTCCCAATTGGACGGTTTGCTGCATTCACTGTTTTCCTTTGTATTTATTTGTATCCCTGTTTCACCTGGAGCTCGACACGGCTACGGTCCGTTAGAGCCAGGCCCGCAATTTAATGTTGTGCATTTTGCTGGGCTTGTTTTAATGTTGGTATTCGTATTTAGCTTTAATTGGAACAATAGTTCGTTTTTATAATTTTGAATATACCACGGCTAGTTAATGCAGTGATTTGCGCTGCATGCTGCGAGTCGAGGGTTCGATTCCGGCGCGAAACAAACATTTGTATGGATTTTATTTTATAGAATAAGGGTGGCAAACGAACACA